TCCTAGGTCTTGGCCAATCCTTTACTGCTTCTATCTTTTCCTTCGCAGTACAGATGCCCTCCGTTGTCACCTTGTGCCCTAAGAGGTTCACCTCCTTCCTGAACAGTGAGCACTTTTTAGGACTTAGCTTCAGACCAGCGCTAGCTATCCTCAGTAAAACTTCCTCCAAATTCTTCAGGTGCTCCTCAAAGCTTTTACCCAACACAATAATGTCGTATAGATACACCAAACATGTTTTCCAATGCATTCCCTTCAGCACATGGTCCATAAGTCTTTCAAAGGTGGCGGGAGCGTTGCATAATCCGAAGGACATCACCGTGAATTTTCAAAGACCATCTCCAACGCTGAAAGCTGTCTTCTCCTTGTCCTCGTCACTTACCCCCACTTGCTAATAACCGCTCTTAAGGTCGAGTGTTGAGAACCACTTTATTCCAGACAACGAGTCCAGAGGATCATTGATCCTGGGAAGTGGATATCTGTCCTTTTTCGTCACATCATTTAGTTTCCGGTAGTCTACGCAAAACCGCATTTTACCATCTTTCTTCTTCATCTTACCATCTTACAGCTTCACGTTTGGCCAGTGGAACACTTCAGTATCAATGCGATGTTTCACAACTTTTGTCCTGCCTGGTTTGTTGCCATCCTTGTCGAATATGTTGGAGTATCTGCGGAGAAGTTCCTTAGCCTTGTGCTGGTATTTTTCTTCCAACCCTTCCGTCCAAGCATTTATGTCTTCCGCAATGTCGTTCTCGCCAATGGAATCGCTTTCAGGTAATTTTTCGCAGTTGAAGATTGCCTCTACCTCTCGACATTTCCCCAGTACAATTCCTCTTCGGAGTTTGATTGGTGATTTGAACTCACTGAGTACTCGAACTGGGCTGCGTCCATCCTTTTGCGTCTTAGCCAGGGTTTTACCAATAAGTACGTCCGGTGTAGAATTCTGTGTTGCCTCAACAACCCACAACTTGTTTATCCCACAATCTCCATCAATCTTCGCCCAAACAACTGCTTCTGACTTCGGTGGAATCTGTTCAATTTCCTCTAGGATCACTCGCTTGCTGCTGTACGGGCGCTCATACCCAAAGGTAAGAGGCCCTTCCAAGTTGTTGTACNACAACCCACAACTTGTTTATCCCACAATCTCCATCAATCTTCGCCCAAACAACTGCTTCTGACTTCGGTGGAATCTGTTCACTTTCCTCTAGGATCACTCGCTTGCTGCTGTACGGGCGCTCATACCCAAAGGTAAGAGGCCCTTAAAAGTTGTTGTACTTCATGATCCTGTTCTTCATGTCGATCTGCATACCTTGATCAAATAAAAAGTCCAATCCAATGATGACTTCATCCACAATCGCCGCGATTATGAACTTGTGTAACACGGTCACATTCCCTATTGCGACTTTGCATGTTACCTCTCCTACAACTTGGATGTCCTCACCAGTTGCTGCCCTCAACGTTGCTCCAGGTAATGGCCTTACCTCTTTAGTGACCAAATCAGATCGAATGATGGAATGTGATGCGCCCGTATCCACAGTTAGTACTCGCTCATGTCCGTCCACATATCCACCAACAGTAACGTTGCTCGCTTTTCTGCCAATTCGCGAGACGGAGATTATGGGGCATTCAATTGCGGGAGCCAGCGCGCGCCCCTTGCTGCTGGCTCGTTTTAGTTTAACGACTGATTGGAGTTGGATTCGTCTCCTTCAGCCCTGCGTTTGCATCCTGCTGAATTGTTGAGCGCACTGGAACTTGCGCTGCAATCGCGGGCGAAGTGGCCTGGCCTTCCACATTTAAAACATTTGCCAGAGCCATGCTTTTTCTCGCCCAACAGTTGGATTAGCTTCTTCAGCATTTCCTTTATCGCGTCCGGTGTCTCCACTTTCACTCAATGGGCTTTGTAGGCTGGTCTACTTAGGAGTGCTGCCGTTTCACGTGTCTGAGCATACGAGACAGTTTCAGCAAATGTTCCTTTCACAGTCAGGAATAGTCTGCAAGATTTCCGCTGCAGGTCCTTTTAATGCAACGAACAGAGCAGCGGATTTATCCTCCATGCTTCAGTGACTTGTTGTAGCTGTCTTCTCGAACTGGAGCTTAACGACCTGGAAAGGAATCGTGCCGTCAAAGGATGGAGTTTTTACCTTGGGAGCGTTCGTCGAAGGGGCTGGACGATTCAACTGCAAGTCTCGGAGTCGACCTTCCAACACGCCCATCTTAACCTCGACTTTGTCCTGTCTCTCTTCGATTTTTCCTGTATTTGGGCAATCTTTGCATCCTGTGCTTCCAGTTGGCATGACATCTGCGCTGATACCGCTGATGATATACGTGTCTCCAGCGCTTGTATCTGCGATGAAACATCTGACGACAGCTGCGACCTTTGTGCTTCAAGCTGTGTTTGCTTCATCTGTGACATGGCAGCCAATAACGTGTTCATGTCCATAGCTGTTGATAACGAAGGAACCTTTTGCTGTTCTTCCAGCAAACAAATTTATTTACTGCCGTCAAACGCCGTTTTCTTAAATGATAGGAAAGAAGCTATTTTGCTAGATTTTTGAACCCTCTCTTGGTAGGAAAGAAAGTTTTTCAGTGGTAACCCTGCTTATAACGCGCGNATCGAATGATGGAATGTGATGCGCCCATATCCACAGTTAGTACTCGCTCATGTCCGTCCACATATCCACCAACAGTAACGTTGCTCGCTTTTCTGCCAATTTACGAGACGGATATTATGGGGAATTCAATTGCGGGAGCCAGCGCGCGCCCCTTGCTGCTGGCTCGTTTTAGTTTAACGACTGATTGGAGTTGGATTCGTCTCCTTCAGCCCTGCGTTTGCATCCTGCTGAATTGTTGAGCGCACTGGAACTTGCGCTGCAATCGCGGGCGAAGTGGCCTGGCCTTCCACATTTAAAACATTTGCCAGAGCCATGCTTTTTCTCGCCCAACAGTTGGATTAGCTTCTTCAGCATTTCCTTTATCGCGTCCGGTGTCTCCACTTTCACTCAATGGGCTTTGTAGGCTGGTCTACTTAGGAGTGCTGCCGTTTCACGTGTCTGAGCATACGAGACAGTTTCAGCAAATGTTCCTTTCACAGTCAGGAATAGTCTGCAAGATTTCCGCTGCAGGTCCTTTTAATGCAACGAACAGAGCAGCGGATTTATCCTCCATGCTTCAGTGACTTGTTGTAGCTGTCTTCTCGAACTGGAGCTTAACGACCTGGAAAGGAATCGTGCCGTCAAAGGATGGAGTTTTTACCTTGGGAGCGTTCGTCGAAGGGGCTGGACGATTCAACTGCAAGTCTCGGAGTCGACCTTCCAACACGCCCATCTTAACCTCGACTTTGTCCTGTCTCTCTTCGATTTTTCCTGTATTTGGGCAATCTTTGCATCCTGTGCTTCCAGTTGGCATGACATCTGCGCTGATACCGCTGATGATATACGTGTCTCCAGCGCTTGTATCTGCGATGAAACATCTGACGACAGCTGCGACCTTTGTGCTTCAAGCTGTGTTTGCTTCATCTGTGACATGGCAGCCAATAACGTGTTCATGTCCATAGCTGTTGATAACGAAGGAACCTTTTGCTGTTCTTCCAGCAAACAAATTTATTTACTGCCGTCAAACGCCGTTTTCTTAAATGATAGGAAAGAAGCTATTTTGCTAGATTTTTGAACCCTCTCTTGGTAGGAAAGAAAGTTTTTCAGTGGTAACCCTGCTTATAACGCGCGGTAGCATACCGCTGCCTGCTTGAGCAAGCCTTTATAATGAAAACAGCCCTATAAAGATTTTATTTTGTTGCTTTAAATAGAAAAGTTCTTTAAATGTAAACTGAACCATTTTCACCTAATCTAAGGGCCCGTTGTTAAATGTATGGATATCAACAGCACCTCATTATCGACGATTTCGATATCATGCATATAACATGTGATCGCTAAAGTAGATGCTGTATTTAACCGGAGCTTCTACCTCCGATTTGTGTTAATCAGAATCAGACCTTGAACAACGGGCCCTAAGCCTTTTTACCACTCCGGTATGTTAATTATAGACAATTATTTTCCGTTTACCTTTACCATCGCATAGCATACGACTATGCAGCATTATCCACATCGCCTTAACAGTATTCGGAAGAAAGACATCGTACTCAGGGCTACCAACTTGGCTCAAACCATGCCATTTTGGCCGGATTTTACTTAAAATGCCACTTTGTGCCAAATTGGAACTTTTGAAAAATGGTAATATTTCAATACATTTTGGTGAAACCCTTTGCGTGTATCTACTTATCTTTGTCAACTAAAATTTTTTAATTTCTTTAGTGTATACAACTGGTTTATCTTACTTTGCATTGGACTTTTGTTTTAGGAATGTGTTTGTAATTTTAATGCTAAATGAGAAGAACAAAAAAGAATTATACCTTTTTTGGCACTTTTATTTTTCTATTTGGCACATTTTGGCACTTTTCTATCCTCAACATGGCACTTCATAGCTAAGTATGGTTGGCAGCCCTGATCGCACTAACTGAAACTTTATTGCTTGCGGGATAGTATAAATACCTATGTATGTACACTTTTAAGATGCATGAATGTGAACTATGCGTGGCTTTTATTGTATCTCTGCATTTCACTAACTTCCTGTGCCAGGAGACCAAATATTGTAATTCTTAACAGACAACAATTTGCGATGTTAAACACTGTTGAAGGTAATTTCCGGTATTTCTCTCTTATACTATTTTCAGACAGGCAGTTAATCGAGCAATTATCCAAGCTTTCTCAATTAATGCACTAATTAAGATCGATTTGCCATACAAAATTTCAATTATAAATTGCTCGATTGGTAATTAATTGAATGTTTAATCGAGTAAAAACTCCAATGCAACTCTGTTAGGTAAGTTCGTTTTCTTAGTTTTGGTGTGTTCAGTGTTAAATGACAATCAGCTGTTTGACATAAATTTATTATTTTCTTATTGGAACCAAAACAATCAAAAACCAAAAAAATTTAATTTTAACTGCAGAATGCAGAACGATCTGAATGGTGAGTAAATAAACACAAATGGTTTTGTGTAATGTTTATTAAAAACACATATGTATGTATTTCAGTTCGATTACCTCCAAAACCAAGAAAGAGGAGACTGGCTTGGGAAGAGGATGGCGAAGTGGCCATTCTTGATGTGCAGGTGAAGTTGGCGAACTTCACGCAACGCTACAGGTAAGAAAAAATAAAGGAATAATATTCAAAACCACTAAAAATTTAATTCGTTAATAGAAAAGAGAAATTGGCTATGGGACCTTCTGGTGGATCACCCTCAACGTGGCCTTTATACGCAAGGGTGCACCAGATAATCGGTGGATTTAAGGCCAACATGTTTTGCGAGCTGACGCTTGAAAACATCAGCGGTATGTATGCGTTTTTGGAATGTGCCTTACTAAAAGCCGTAATGTGTTTAGTGGAGATATTTGTTTTGTAGCAGAGTGACGCGTCTGTGTACATGCTAGAACAGCTCGTTTAGTTGCAGGTTTAAGTGCGAAGGTACACTTCGATTTTGCACGAGCACAGACATACGGTGGTGCTTCAAAACAAATGTTCCACTAAAAACTTAAGTAGAGAATGAAAATGTTCCCCACTTAACTGGTTTCAGTAGTGCTAATAGAAATTTTATCTACTAAAAAATGTTCAATGTGTATAATGAAAACATCTTGAGAGAGCGATTGTCTTATATTTTCCTTTAAGAATGAGCTGGATTTCACTTTCTCCCTTTTTACTATGGTTTAATTTTTTTCGAACCCATTTCGAGTGTATTTCAAATTTACTCTGAACGTTGGAAAACCAAGGTTGGTTATGAGTTCATTCTCAGTTCGATATGCATATTGGATATTGAAGGTAATTTTCGAATGTTCGCCAAAATGTTTGTAGGGTTATTTGTAATACGATTTTGTGGTGGTGCACCGCAAACCACCCTAAACGAAAGAGGATGGAAAGCGCTTTACTAAAAGTAACCCATCCCCCCACAGACCCCTTGGGAGCTGTTTAAACATAGGAGAAATTGGGATTTTTTCCGAAAGGATTACAATCCTCACTAAGTACAATTATCCTTTCTGTGTTGCCGAAGAAGAGGGGCTGAACACCTTTTGTAGAGATAATTCGTGGATACTTTTTGCGTTTGACAGCTCAGCTCGGTTTATTTTTTTTATTCGGGTCTCGCGTTTTGCACATCAACATCATTGTTGTACAAATAACTAAACCGTTCCCTATCTTTTTAACTTCGATACAAGCACATATTTTCATATGTATTTATTTAATGCTGATTTTATTTATTTCATTCTTATTTGTGTTTTTTTTTCTTTTAAACAGAAGCCGATATAGCATCCCAGCCATCACCACTGTCATCACTCAGCCCAACATTTTCCTCACCACTGGCATCACCTCTTCCTGCTGTGCCAACCACACCGCTGCCTACGCCGTCACCGCCGCTGTCATCACCTCTCACTCCTCTGCCAACCACACCGTCACCACCGCTATCATCGCCATCATCACCAATGCCTAGCAGCTCAGCTTCTGCGGTTGAGCCTAAAAGAAAGAAAACAATGGGCACTTTACAGAAGAAAGTATTAGAAAAATTTGATGGGTCGTCAGCGGAGATAAGCCAACATATTCAGAGGAGTGAGGAAAATGAAAAAGAGAAGATGAAGATAGAAAAAGACAAAGCTGAAACACTGAGGGAGATAGCCAATGATAACAAGGAGTTAAAAGTTGGCATTTTATCATTTTTGAATAGAAATTAATAACATTGTACAGCACTCGGCTGGCTATTGGACCAAACCAACTTTTTTAAAGAGATTGAGTCATAAGTAAAAAAAAGTTAGTTCTCCGTTTTTCGAAGTTAGCCTTCGAAATCGAGATATGGGCCTTCGAAATTCGAAATTGGACCTTTGGTAAAAAATTATTTTTAATTATTGCATGTAAAACGCAAAAAAAGTAAAAATGCAGACATGGTCCGCCTTTTGCTCTCATTTATATGGTATATAATTTTTTTTGTGAAAACTTATATTACAGGTGCTATAACGGGTCAAAGGTCAGATCTTCGAAAATTGAAAAACTTAATATTTCAGACAATTTTGAACCGATTTTAAAAAGATTTACATCGTTGTAAAATTTATTAAATGCGCTTTCTTTATATATGCATATTTGTATACTTCGTATATAAAAATTTTAGAAAAAACACATTTTAATGAAAAAATACCTTTTTTTATAAAAAAAAAAAATTTAGCAAAAAAATGACTAGCCGATTTTTAAACAATTGGTATCGTTGTAAAGATGATTAAATCCCCTTTCTTCTGATATGCATATTTCTAAAAATCGGTTAGTAATTTTTTTGTTTAAAATATGTTTTTTTATAAAAAAAAGGTATTTTTTCATTTAAATGTGTTTTTTCCAAAATTTTTATATACGAAGTATACAAACATGCATATCGAAAGAAAGCGGATTTAATTACCTTTACAACAATATATTTTCTTTTTAAATCAGTTCAAAATTGTTTGCAATATAAGGAAATTAATTTTTCGAAGACCTGAACTTTGACCCTTATAGCACCTGTAATATAGGTCTGCACAAAAAAATGTATATACCATTTAAATTAAAGGTGGACTGCGCCTATATTTTTAGGTTTTTAGTTATTTACATACATGCAATAATTTAATATAATTTTTTACCAAAGGTCCTATTTCGAACTTCGAAGGCCCATATCTCGATTTCGGAGGCTAATTTCGAAAAACGGAAAAATCATTTTTTTGCCTATGACTCAAGTGCAGTTATTAACTAACAAAAAGTATATACAGTGCCTCAACCCAATGACCACGTGTCGATTTTTTTTTTTAAATATTAGTATGTTTTTCGAGCTAAATTTCTTTTGTTATTTATCTATAAAAATACCATCCAAGCTTTAACCAAAACCTTAAAAATCACTTGGGGGGATTCACAACGGTGTCGTTAGTGTCGTATTGTTGTATGTCGTAAACTTTAAACGCCTAAGAAATATATTAAAAGGATTCGCAAAGTACCATCAAAGTCATATTATGCATTTTCGCAGTGTTAAAAAATAGTTGGTTGTGGTTTTAACTTCTCTAAGCATTTATTTAAGCTTTTAAAGTTTACAACAATATGACACTTACGACACCGATGTGAATCCCCCAAGTGATTTTTAAGGTTTTGGTTAAAGCTTGGACGGTATTTTTATAGATAAATAACAAAAGAAGTTTAGCTCGAAAAACATTACTAATATTTAAAACAAACAACACGAGGTCATTTGTTTGATTCACTGTAAATAAAAAAAAATTAAAATGAATTAATTGAACAAATAAAAATTGTACTCACTAAAATAATTGCATAGTCCTTGCCTTATTTCTTCAGCTGAGGGTTGATTGTCTCTGGCTGTCAGCTGTCTTAAAAGAATTTTTGTTTATTTACAATAAATTGGTAAAATGGAAAACAATAAGTGCTTAAGCGAACTTTTTCTTGCGTATACTGCAAATATACAAGTTTTGCAGTCAGTGCTGGCTAGCTACGCAAGTTCAATGGCCTTATATAAAAAGAGAAAAGAAAAAAACTTCATAATTTTGCAACATTTGCGAAGACAGCAGCTATTGCTTTACGGGTTACTGCAGAGGAACGCTACTCAGAGATCCCTCTGGAAATTGGTAAATCAAATTATAAGTAATCAGTTCTTGTCCTTTTATAAATGATACTTCCTCTATTACAGAATCGGCAGTCTTCTTTCTGGGAAGTTAATTGCAATTGCAACGATGACCATTTCTTTAAGACGCACTTCCGCATGAACCGCACTAGTTTCGAAACACTCTGTGGTTTCCTCAAAAACCTGCACAAAGCCGACACAAACTGGCGCAACGCGATTCCATTGCAAAAACGCGTTGCGATAGCTCTATTTACGCTGGGATCGTCTGGGGAGTACAGAGTGGTTTCCGAACTATTTGGTGTTGGAATATCGACCGTGTGCACAATCTTGTGGGAGTTTTGCGAGGAAGTCTGGCAAGCTTTGTCAGCGCAATACATAAAGAAATTACCACCGACTCCACAAACTTTAAAAGACTGTGTTGATGGTTTTGACCGTCTCGGCTTTCCCCAATGCCTTGGAGCAATTGGTAAGAAAGTTAAAAATGCAACTAATTTATATAAAAACAAAGATATACGTACATACATATATATTCAGATGGGTGCCACATCGAAGTTAGGCCGAATCCAGCCGATGCAACCGACTACCACAACTATAAAGGATGGTATTCTATTGTTCTACTAGCTGTAGTGGATTATAGGTTATTTAACTTTTATCCTGTTGTTTTTTTTCTAAAAAGCATGTATTAATTATTTCTATTTATGTTCAGATATCGGTTTTTATATGTGAACATTGGTGCTCCTGGACGATGCAATGATTCGCAGATATATAATGCATCGTTAATGAAGCGAGTAATGGAGGAGAACGAATTACTGAAGGTCAGTAAGAAAGAAATAGGTGGAGTACAAATGCCTATATGCATTATTGGAGATTCTGCGTTTCGGTTTTCCACCTCCTTAATGAAGCCATACGCGTTTTCAATGGCCTTAACTGAAACACAAAAACTCTATAATTATAAGCTTTCAAAGTGCAGAAGAGTAGTTGAGAATGCATTTGGCCACTTGAAAGGACGATTCCGTCGTGTTGGAAAAGGTTTAGACAACCGAATTGGGAAGGCACCCATCATTATTAGAGCCTGCTGCGTCTTGCACAATTATTTAAATGAAATGAACGACACTATAAATGACATGTGGTTGGAGAGATTGCAAGAAGTGAACAGAAATCTCGAAAATCCTGAATATGTTACTATAGTTGGAGACAATCAACCCTCAGCTGAAGAAATAAGGCAAGGACTATGCAATTATTTTAGTGAGTACAATTTTTATTTGTTCATTTAATTCATTTTCATTTTTTTTTATTTACAGTGAATCAAACAAATGACCTCGTGTTGTTTGTTTTTAAATATTAGTAATGTTTTTCGAGCTAAATTTCTTTTGTTATCTATCTATAAAAATACCGTCCAAGCTTTAACCAAAACCTTAAAAATCACTTGGGGGATTCACAACGGTGTCGTAAGTGTCATATTGTTGTAAACTTTAAAAGCTTAAATAAATGCTTAGAGAAGTTAAAACCACAACCAACTATTTTTTAACACTGCGAAAATGCATAATATGACTTTGATGGTACTTTGCGAACCCTTTTAATATATTTCTTAGGCGTTTAAAGTTTACGACATACAACAATACGACACTAACGACACCGTTGTGAATCCCCCAAGTGATTTTGAAGGTTTTGGTTAAAGCTTGGACGGTATTTTTATAGATAAATAACAAAAGAAATTTAGCTCGAAAAACATTACTAATATTTAAAAAAAAAAATCAACACGTGGTCATTGGGTTGAGGCACTGTATATACTTTTTGTTAGTTAATAACTGCACTTGAGTCATAGGCAAAAAAAGGGATTTTTCCGTTTTTCGAAATTAGCCTCCGAAATCGAGATATGGGCCTTCGAAGTTCGAAATAGGACCTTTGGTAAAAAATTATATTAAATTATTGCATGTATGTAAATAACTAAAAACCTAAAAATATAGGCGCAGTCCACCTTTAATTTAAATGGTATATAAATTTTTTTGTGCAGACCTATATTACAGGTGCTATAAGGGGACAAAGTTCAGGTCTTCGAAAAATTAATTTCCTTATATTGCAAACAATTTTGAACTGATTTAAAAAAAATATATATTGTTGTAAAGGTGATTAAATCCGCTTTCTTTCGACATGCATATTTGTATACTTCGTATATAAAAATTTTAGAAAAAACACATTTAAATGAAAAAATACCTTTTTTTTATAAAAAAAACTTATTTTAAACAAAAAAATTACTAACCGATTTTTAGAAATATGCATATCAGAAGAAAGGGGATTTAATCACCTTTACAACGATACCAATTGTTTAAAAATCGGTTAGTCATTTTTTTGCTAAATTTTTTTTTTTATAAAAAAAGGTATTTTTTCATTAAAATGTGTTTTTTCTAAAATTTTTATATACGAAGTATACAAATATGCATATATAAAGAAAGCGCATTTAATAAATTTTACAACGATGTAAATCTTTTTAAAATCGGTTCAAAATTGTCTGAAATATTAAGTTTTTCAATTTTCGAAGATCTGACCTTTGACCCGGTATAGCACCTGTAATATAAGTTTTCACAAAAAAAATTATATACCATATAAATGAGAGCAAAAGGCGGACCATGTCTGCATTTTTACTTTTTTTGCGTTTTACATGCAATAATTAAAAATAATTTTTTACCAAAGGTCCAATTTCGAATTTCGAAGGCCCATATCTCGATTTCGAAGGCTAACTTCGAAAAACGGAGAACTAACTTTTTTTTACTTATGACTCAATCTCTTTAAAAAAGTTGGTTTGGTCCAATAGCCAGCCGAGTGCTGTACAATGTTATTAATTTCTATTTAAAAATGATAAAATGCCAACTTTTAACTCCTTGTTATCATTGGCTATCTCCCTCAGTGTTTCAGCTTTGTCTTTTTCTATCTTCATCTTCTCTTTTTCATTTTCCTCACTCCTCTGAATATGTTGGCTTATCTCCGCTGACGACCCATCAAATTTTTCTAATACTTTCTTCTGTAAAGTGCCCATTGTTTTCTTTCTTTTAGGCTCAACCGCAGAAGCTGAGCTGCTAGGCATTGGTGATGATGGCGATGATAGCGGTGGTGACGGTGTGGTTGGCAGAGGAGTGAGAGGTGATGACAGCGGCGGTGACGGTGTAGGCAGCGGTGTGGTTGGCACAGCAGGAAGAGGTGATGCCAGTGGTGAGGAAAATGTTGGGCTGAGTGATGACGGCAATACTGGGGTCAGTGGTGATGGCTGGGATGCTATATCGGCTTCTGTTTAAAAGAAAAAAAAAACACATAAGAATGAAATAAATAAAATCAGCATTAAATAAACACATATGAAAATATGTGCTTGTATCGAAGTTAAAAAGATAGGGAACGGTTTAGTTATTTGTACAACAATTTTGGGTTGATGTGCAAAACGCGAGACTCGAATAAAAAAAATAAACCGAGCTGAGCTGTCAAACGCAAAAAGTATCCACGAATTATCTCTACAAAAGGTGTTCAGCCCCTCTTCTTCGGCAACACAGAAAGGATAATTGTACTTAGTGAGGATTATAATCCTTTCGGAAAAAATCCCAATTTCTCCTATGTTTAAGCAGCTCCCAAGGGGTCTGTGGGGGGATGGGTTACTTTTAGTAAAGCGCTTTCCATCCTCTTTCGTTTAGGGTGGTTTGCGGTGCACCACCACAAAATCGTTTTACAAATAACCCTACAAACATTTTGGCGAACATTCGAAAATTACCTTCAATATCCAATATGCATATCGAACTGAGAATGAACTCATAACCAACCTTGGTTTTCCAACGTTCAGAGTAAATTTGAAATACACTCGAAATGGGTTCGAAAAAAATTAAACCATAGTAAAAAGGGAGAAAGTGAAATCCAGCTCATTCTTAAAGGAAAATATAAGACAATCGCTCTCTCAAGATGTTTTCATTATACACATTGAACATTTTTTAGTAGATAAAATTTCTATTAGCACTACTGAAACCAGTTAAGTGGGGAACATTTTCATTCTCTACTTAAGTTTTTAGTGGAACATTTGTTTTGAAGCACCACCGTATGTCTGTGCTCGTGCAAAATCGAAGTGTACCTTCGCACTTAAACCTGCAACTAAACGAGCTGTTCTAGCATGTACACAGACGCGTCACTCTGCTACAAAACAAATATCTCCACTAAACACATTACGGCTTTTAGTAAGGCACATTCCAAAAACGCATACATACCGCTGATGTTTTCAAGCGTCAGCTCGCAAAACATGTTGGCCTTAAATCCACCGATTATCTGGTGCACCCTTGCGTATAAAGGCCACGTTGAGGGTGATCCACCAGAAGGTCCCATAGCCAATTTCTCTTTTCTATTAACGAATTAAATTTTTAGTGGTTTTGAATATTATTCCTTTATTTCTTCTTACCTGTAGCGTTGCGTGAAGTTCGCCAACTTCACCTGCACATCAAGAATGGCCACTTCGCCATCCTCTTCCCAAGCCAGTCTCCTCTTTCTTGGTTTTGGAGGTAATCGAACTGAAATACATACATATGTGTTTTTAATAAACATTACACAAAACCATTTGTGTTTATTTACTCACCATTCAGATTGTTCTGCATCCTGCAGTTAAAATTAAATTTTTTTGGTTTTTGATTGTTTTGGTTCCAATAAGAAAATAATAAATTTATGTCAAACAGCTGATTGTCATTTAACACTGAACACACCAAAACTAAGAAAACGAACTTACCTAACAGAGTTGCATTGGAGTTTTTACTCGATTAAACATTCAATTAATTACCAATTGAGCAATTTATAATTGAAATTTTGTATGGCAAATCGATCTTAATTAGTGCATTAATTGAGAAAGCTTGGATAATTGCTCGATTAACTGCCTGTCTGAAAATAGTATAAGAGATAGCAAATAATTCGTTTGTCACGTAATTTTGTTCAGTTGAACTCAAGGTTTTTGAAATAAATGTTATTGGCCTTCTCTCTAGGGATAGGACTGCACCTACTACCACATTGGAAGCATCAGTAGTCAAGATTAATTTTTTTTTTTTGTTAAATTTGGTTGAACTAATTCAACTTGCTCTCGCATGCATCCTTTAAAGTTTCGCAAGCAACTATTCATTCCTGATCAAGATTAATATTTGTTTTCTTTGACATATATTGTGATAGTTTACCATTATCTTCTTTTAAGTGTTTCGTTAGTTAGGTTTAGCCATTGTCGCATAATCTTATCTTACTAATATTATAAATGTGAAAGTTTGTATGTTTGGATGTTTGGGATATCATCACGCGGAAACGACTGAACGGATTTGCATGAAATTTCGTACACAGTTAGCCTATGGGCCATGGTGTAATGAACTGAAGGTGGCGCATTACCACTACTTTAGTTTTGTCGACTTTGACGTTTATGGCAATACGTAAACAAACTTTTTGTTTATAAACAAGTGCAAACGTATTGCAAACGTATTTTGTACTTTCAAGTGAAAAATCGAAGTAATTCGTGCGTTCTATGGTAAAAAACGTTTTAGTTGTAATAAAAACTTTATAAAAATGTCGTGTCGTGTGTTGAATTGCAGCAGCCGTAAGGGTAAAGCCCCCAAATGCAGTTTTTTTTTGTTTCCCCGCGACGACGCCTTGGCCAGAATGTAGGTAGAGTTCTGCCGGCAGGAGAAGCCATACAATTTAGACACCAGCGTAATATGCATGAAGCACTTTACGTTAAAACGTTGAAATACCACAAATTAGAAACTAAAATCGGAGGTAAGCAAGCATCGACCACATTCTGGAGGAAAACATGCGCTGCGAGAAGATATTATGNTCTGAAAATAGTATAAACGATAGCAAATAATTCGTTTGTCACGTAATTTTGTTCAGTTGAACTCAAGGTTTTTGAAATAAATGTTATTGGCCTTCTCTCTAGGGATAGGACTGCACCTACTACCACATTGGAAGCATCAGTAGTCAAGATTAATTTTTTTTTTTGTTAAATTTGGTTGAACTAATTCAACTTACTCTCGCATGCATCCTTTAAAGTTTCGCAAGCAACTATTCATTCCTGATCAAGATTAATATTTGTTTTCTTTGACATATATTGTGATAGTTTACCATTATCTTCTTTTAAGTGTTTCGTTAGTTATGTTTAGCCATTGTCGCATAATCTTATCTTACTAATATTATAAATGTGAAAGTTTGTATGTTTGGATGTTTGGGATATCATCACGCGGAAACGACTGAACGGATTTGCATGAAATTTCGTACACAGTTAGCCTATGGGCCATGGTGTAATGAACTGAAGGTGGCGCATTCCCGAAACCACTACTTTAGTTTTGTCGACTTTGACGTTTATGGCAATACGTAAACAAACTTTTTGTTTAGAAACAAGTGCAAACGTATTGCAAACGTATTTTGTACTTTCAAGTGAAAAATCGAAGTAATTCGTGCGTTCTATGGTAAAAAACGTTTTAGTTGTAATAAAAACTTTATAAAAATGTCGTGTCGTGTGTTGAATTGCAGCAGCCGTAAGGGTAAAGCCCCCAAATGCAGTTTTTTTTTGTTTCCCCGCGACGACGCCTTGGCCAGAATGTAGGTAGAGTTCTGCCGGCAGGAGAAGCCATACAATTTAGACACCAGCGTAATATGCATGAAGCACTTTACGTTAAAACGTTGAAATACCACAAATTAGAAACTAAAATCGGAGGTAAGCAAGCATCGACCACATTCTGGAGGAAAACATGCGCTGCGAGAAGATATTATGTATCACTTTTTCGGCACCTGCAATACAAACACAAAAATTCTAAATAGTTAGTTAATGATACCTATTCTTTTGAACACATATCAAGAGTGGTTGTATATTTTTTGTTAACGTTGTGCTTAATTTGCTATATTCAAAGATGACTTGAGAAATTGGTGAATCGTGAAGAAAACACGTTTTCTCACTGCAAATTCACAACTGTCAACTCATTGTTCTTCGCCATATTCTTTGTTTACCCGTTGCCACAAATGTCATTCTGCGGGAATGCGCAATCTTGTATTCTATCGTTCTTGCCTATGGGCCAGATAGGTTAATAAGCTATTTTTAAGAGTTGCCCCTGTTAAAAAAGTTTCATTATATTAATACGCGGAAACGACTAAATGGATTTGCATGAAATTTCGCNTCTTACTAATATTATAAATGTGAAAGTTTGTATGTTTGGATGTTTGGGATATCATCACGCGGAAACGACTGAACGGATTTGCATGAAATTTCGTACACAGTTAGCCTATGGGCCATGGTGTAATGAACTGAAGGTGGCGCATTCCCGAANAAAGTTTGCACACTGATAGCTTATGACCTAGACTGGAAAATAGGCTACTTTTTTAAGAATTGCCGCCTGTTTGAAAATGAAATTTTGCTCAAAGATGGTTTATGACCTGGATTGAAAAAATAGGCTACTTCCTTAACCGGTATTCCGATCAGAACGAAATTTAGTACACTTACTACGGATTTCGGAAGGATGGTCTTAGACTGAAAGTAAGTGCGGTAACTTAAAGCCCCTCCCATACAAATTGGAATTTTCATATTACATACATATTGTAGTATTACACTAAATATCGACCGCACACAGCTAAGCCATTATGACCCAAATAAATTCTAATGAACTCAGCGGGAGTTCAACGT